TGGTGCATGGCGGTGCCCATCTATCTCGTGGAGGGTCTTCCTCTTTTTTGCTGGACTCTCTACATTACCAGCCAGCACGTCCTTCTCCAGGGACAGGCCAGTGTGATAGATAACCTGAGCAAAGTACATGAGACCGAGGCTCGCCATCTTCACGTTGAAAGAGCATCTGGCTGTACTTACCCAGGTAAAATTGCTCATGTCTGAGGGGAACTCTCACAGCATGAACTTTGTGAACTGCTCATCCACTGGAGGAGGAGCAGGGGGCATGGCCAGAAAGAGAAGAGACTGTGATTGAAGCCAGGGTATCGAGGCAGGTGATTGAGAGGCGAGACCCAGAGCAAATTGCCATGCCAGGAGCTTTGCCAAGTAGTAGGAAGGGCAGGTTTCCCACAATCAGACAAAGGTGACCGGGCCATTGGGCAGATAAGGAGGGAGCTGCAGTTGATAAGCGCTTTTAACAGTCCTCTTACCTTCAGCCTGGGTCCAGAGTAGGCGGGATCCTTCTAAGAACTGTGTCCCTCCCAGGGTGGGGGTGAGGAGACCTTGAACCAGGGCTGGGTGTGGCCTCCTCCATGCTTGCCCAACCTGAGGTTGCTACAAAAGTCCCTGGATTCCAGGGCCCCTGTGGCAACGCGCTCCGGACAGCAGAGGAACCAGCACGATGAAGTTTGCGCCCGTGATGGTGCCGTGGCAACGCCGGATGCAGACGCTGGCTGTCCTGCAATGGGTCCTCTCCTTCCTGATCCTGCGTAAGTTGGGCCTCTTGGGAGCTGCCAGCCGCCATGCCAGCCACACTGGGGAGAAAAGACTTCTATCCACAAGGAGTTCTGTGGTGTTTACAGGTCCTGCCCAGGGGTGCCTCTAAGACCTACCTGGGCTAAGAAACTGATAAACTCCGTACCAGATGGTCCATAGCTGCTCCCCTGACCTCCCTCCCCTCTCCAGTTCCTCCCTAAACATCCCCCCCCCCACCATAGTTTTTCAGTTAAGTCATTAATCCTGTATTATGCAGGCTTTCCCAGTCCCTGCTATGGTTGCCATTCCTGCTGTTACACATTGTAAATGTCCTAGGTCCTCCCCAGGGTAGGGAGAGAAATAAAGTGTCTTAAATGATCACGGTGCATTTAATGTCCCAGGCAGTACCCAAAGGGAAATAGGCAGAGAGGATGAAGAGAGGGAGAGAGAGGGAGGGAGGAGGAAGAAGAGGAGGAGAGAGAGGGGTGGGGGGGGCTCCTGTTGCAGGAAGGAGAAGCCTGGGGAAGTCCAAGCTCAGAGTAAACAGCAAGATCTGCTGGCTCCTGCTCAGCTCAGGTGGATGAGCACTGGGGGGAAGTTCCTGGTGGCACACATGGTTAAGCACTTGTCTACTAGTTTAAAGGTTGGCGGTTGGAATCCACCCGAGGGACCTTAGATGACAAGGCTAATGACCTGCTTCTGTGAAAGGTCACAGTTCTGTTCTGACACACCTTGAGTCAAAATCCACTTGACCTTGAGGGCAGGAAGGGGAAGCAAGGTGGGCGGGGCAAGAACCTGGTGGTCTGTGCCCTCCGGCCAACCAGGGGCTACAGGGATTGAGGGACCTCAACTCAACCTTGCCTGCGGGCACTTCGAGAGCAGCAGTGTATCTGCCTGGCCATACCCACCTGCCTGCAGGTCATGGCACAAGTCAGGCTCTGCTGTCCCAGCAGCTCGGGAACCTCAAGAGTAACACAAGGGACCAAAGCAGAGGGAGGACAGCCAAGAAAGGGAGTCTTGGCCCCTCGTGCCAGGTCTAGGAGGCCACACCTTGGTTGGCCACCTTATCCTGAGGGTAGAGGGGATCTGTGAGTAGGGCGTGACAAGGTCCAATCGGTGTGCTAACGGTCCCTGCCTGTGGAGAAGCAGCCAGGGTATGTGGGTGGAGACGGATGGAGGGAAGCAGTGGCCGTCTCCATCAGGGGCACCAAATTACGACTTGGTGCTGAAGAGCAGGCCCCAACCTTCTTTTAGCCTGAAAGCCCAATAATGGTTTTATCATGTAAAAATAGAGCTACTGCCACCAAGTTGACTGTGATTCCTAATTGCAGTAGAACTGCTCCATCGGGGTTCTGAGGCTGTAAATCTGTCCGGGAGCAGACAGCCTCACCTCTCTCTCGCCTGTGGAGCAGCTGGAGGGTTTGAACTGTCAGCCTTGCAGCTAGCAGCCCAATGCCTACCCACAACATCGTTAGAGCTCATTTAAAACACATAGCTGCTTTCTAAATAGCTCCACCCACACCTACATTACTACCCTTTCATTTGTCTCTTGGGCTGCAAACCCTGAAATGCATCTGGCCTGGTCTTCAAGAACATGCTTGCTGCCTATGGTCTAGTGGGAGAGGCTGCTGGAGTGCCTCAGCCGGTTTAAGGGGGGTTTCAGGGAGGGGATCCACAGGGCAGGGGGTGTCAGTGTGCCTGGAGTCGGGAGGGAGACCAGGGAGGGGTGGAGGCCAAGTCATGACAACTGTGTGGCTGGCTGTCCTACCAAACTCAGGCACTCGGTGGAGAGGAAGGTTTGGGGAGTCAGCAGGGATGAGACTTCGTGAAGGGGAGCTGGTGGCGAAGTGGGTTACAGGTTGGCTGCTAACCGAAAAATCAGCAGGGGCTTTTTCCTCCCAGAGAGAGCTACCATCTCAGAAACCTGCGTGGTCCTATGGCGTCGCTCTGTCAGAACTGACGCGATGCAGGGAGACGGAGTCTGAGACGGTGTAGCTGGTTTTGAGGAGCTTTGTAGGCTGGGGGGGACCACCAGCAGTCACTGTGCTGAGGGAACAGTGTGGTTCTTGTAACTGGCCAATGGAGAGGCAGCCTGGGGAGGAGGGCAGAGAGGAGAGAAGCACAACTAGGAGGGCTTCCTGCAGGTGGTGTCAAAGGGGATGAGATAGTTAAAGTTCATTGTACCAACCTGGCCAATAAACACATGTGGGGTTAATTGGAGGGCAGATAAATGGCTCGGATGGTTGGACCAGGGTGCAGCTGCCTTAGCCAGTTCCCTGCTTCAGCTGGCGAGGCTTACTTCCTGCAAGACATCCCTGAGGAGAAGCCACATGGACCTACCCTGGTGCAGCCCTGGCTGTGTGGAGACCCCTGCCAGCGCTGAGATGCTTACACATTCACTGATTCAGCTTTTCTCCTACAATCGGCATCATTTCGTGTGTTTTGCGAGATGGAGGAGGACTTTGTGGATTGGTGTTGGACTTGTGGGCTAATGTTGGACTTGTAGGCTTGAGCAGCACTGGGTTGGGATATTTTCTTGATGTGCATTTAGCCTTTACATAAAACTCTCTCTTATACATGAGTTTCTGTGGATTTGTTTCTCTAATGTACCCAGATGAACACAGGGGAAGATTAAAGAATCCTGTAGGGCTTAAAGGCCCCTAGAGAGTAAGGGCCTCTCCAACAGGGGAACCAAGGAGAGGTAACAGACTTATTTATTTTTTTAAAAAGTAAAGTTTTATTGGCATCTCCTTTACATAACATACCATGTCATCGTCCAATCATATGCATATGTGTGTCACCAGTTTCAGGACATGTTCTTCTCAGACATTGTTGTTACTTCTCCACCCCCACCACCCCACCCTCCCCTGCCATATTCCTATCCCATTACTGCCTCTATAGGGCTACCTGGATCTACTTTAGATTGTAAATTAGCTAGAGGTTTACATTTCAAGTCACCAACTCTGTATCCAACCATTTAAGCTGCTTATCAACACCTACAATAGCTTGCTTCGTCCCCAGCACCCTTTGATTTCTCTTGTCCCACCTGTGGAATGCTACCTTCCCCTCTGTCCACGTGAACACTGCCTGCCTCCTACTCTATTGCTCCATCACCCCCCTTTGCACTGCCCCTTCTTGGTCAGCAGCAAAGGCTAGTTCTTTTGGTATGAAGACCTTTGTCTTTTTCCCCCTCTTTATAACATTGGTCTCAAACACTGTTTGACCTTTTGTGACTGACTAACCTCACTAGTGTCATGATCTCCAGGTCCATCCGTGCTATGAGGCCTTTTGTGGCCTCATCCTTGTTTTTCAGGGAGGCAGAGTATTCCATTGTGTGCATGTGCCGACGTTTCTTTATCCCCACTTCTGCTCAGGGGCATTTCGGCTCTTGCCATCTTGCTGTTGTGAGCATGGGTGACTATGCACATTTATGCGCACCTGGTTCACCCTGGAGGTCCTGGCTATATTTGGGGGAATGACGAAGAAAGGGTTAAAGAAATACAATTGAGGGTCCAGGATCCACAACAAGGGATTTCCAAATCAGTGATTCCATTACTGTCTCCGCCCCTATGACTCACATAACCCTTTCTGATCTAAGAAGTCTCAGTCCACTCTGACAGTTGCCCTGCTTTTGACTGCATCTCCAGCTCGGAGAAGGGGTAGAGTTGATAAGTCTTGGTTGAAGGAATGAATAAATGTTGGGAGCACGACATGCCCAAAAGAGTAGGGCTGAATCCCGGGTTCTACCTTGGTTGGTAGCTTGCTGTGTGACTTCCGCCAACGTAGGCACCTTCTCTGTGAAGATGCTTGCACTGTCTTGAAGTTGATGGAAAAGCCACAGAAGGCTTTAATCAGAGGAAGGACCTTGCCAAAATTGTCTGCGAAGTCGAGACTGAAGTAGGCAGGAGGAGGCTCTCTTATCCTGGAGCCCCCCAAATGGAAAGCAGACCACCACACCCCATAAGCTGGATGGAGACATCGGGCCTTTAGCACACATCTGCTACATGATACCTGCTGTATCAAGTAAATATTTATGGGCATCTGGTGAAGGCAGGCGTGGATGAGGCAGTAGGGAGTTTTCAGGTGGTGAGTTAGTTAATTGTGCCAGCCTGGCCGATAATCACATGTGGGGCTAATTGAAAGGCAGAGGGATAAATGAGCCTCACCTTTCTAGTTCCCGGGTCTCTTGTTTTGTGATGGTTGCACCGGGTGCAGCTGCCTTAGCAGTTCCCTGCTTCAGCTTGCAAGATTGACTTCCTACAAGACATCCCCAAGGAGAAGCCACATGGACCTATCCCGATGCAGCCCTGGGTGCTGGAGCAGCCGTGTGGAGACCCCTGCTAGTGCTGAGATGCTTGTTCGTTGACTGACTCAGCTTTCCTCCTACAGTTGGCATCGTTGCCTCTGTTTTGTGAGGTGGAGGACTTTGTGGACTGGTGTTGGGTTAATGGGTTAATGTTGGACTTGTGGGCTTGGGCAGCATTGGGTTGGGATGTTTTCGCGATGCACATTTTCTTTACATAAAACTCTCTCTTATACATGAGTTGCTGTGGATTTGTTTCTCCAAAGTACCCAGACTAATACAGGTGGCATACACAGGTAATGTGCTCAACTGCTAACCAAAAGGTTGGAGCGTTGAGTTCACCCTGAAGGAGAAAGGCCTAGTGATCTATTTCCAAAATATCAGGGGTCGTTAACTGGGCAGATGAAACAGGCCGTGGGGACCCGCAGAGGTCGAGTGTAGAACTGTGTGTCCCCTCCAATTGGAGTGGACTTAGCAGCAATTGGAAGAGCAGGTTCAGGAGGGAAGTGACTTTTGGAGTCAGCACTATAAAGTCCGCCGTCTGCGAGTCATTGCTAACGCACAGAGACACTGTGTCAGAGAGAAACTGTAAGACAGGGATGTGCATTGACTGCTTTTGGAGGGCCAACAACCTGGGTTCAAAGCTATGCTCCCAGGGTGGCCCTGGACGGCCCCCTTGAAGACAGGGTGGCTGGTCTCTTTCTCCTGGAGTCAAGGGCTGGATAGGACAGTGCTGCCAGGGCTGGGCAAGTGGGCAGAGCTCATTCTGGGGGGTCTCATTTGTTTTCCTTTCAGGCCTCTGACCACTAATGACAACTGCTTCCCTCCCCAGCCCTGGTCTGCTACGCAGTCTTCATAGGCCTACTCTTCACACGATTCTGGATCCTCAGTGTCCTCTACTCAGCCTGGTGGTACCTGGACTGGGACAAGCCATGGCAGGGGGGCAGGATCATCCCTATCATTAGGCGTGGCTTTCTGTGGAAAAACATGAGAGACTATTTCCCCGTTTCGGTGAGTATCGGGGCTGGTAGGGGAAGGAGCTGGCTGGGGTGGGTTGGGGCCACAGTGTTCCCATGTCTTTGGGGTGCAATAAGCAGGTAACTGGGCAGGGAGGCAAGAGCTGGGTTCTGTTGAGGTGGAGAGTCCCAGCTCCTGGGGAGACTCCCAGCTTCTCTCTGGTCTTGGCTTCTCCATCTATACAGTGGGCAGGGGAGGTCCCCACATACAAGGGCTCACCGGGGTACTGACAAAAGTGCAGGATTTGAAGCAGCTCTGTGGAAGACATAGTGTGGCACACATATGTATCCGAAGGGGGAACCTTCCCACTGGCCCAGGTTTGAGAGGCAAAGGAAACTGACTCCTCACAGGTCCCAGGAGACCCTTTAGCCCACACTTGCCTTCATCAGGTGAGGAGATTGACGCTCAGAGAGGGACAAAAGTATGAGCAAGGTCACCCAGCAAGTTCTTCTACTGGTTTGTTTGTGCCTTGACCCTGGGTAACAGTGGAAAGGAGAGGGCCTGGACGAGTTCTCAGGTCCTCTTCTGACCATAACTCTGGTACGCTGTTTGTTGCTAGACAAGGTCTTAGCCATTCTGAGCCATGAGTCCCGACTGTCACCTGCCCCCATATCCAGTCAGCACACCGGTCCTGGTAACTGAGTGCCTTCGAATCTCTGACTCTGGTTCAGGGCACCATACGGTCATTGGTGAGCATTTGGCCCTAGACTCAAGGTCAGCCTTGGAATTCAAGCGAGCAAATCCTGCAGCTCCCATCTGGATCCCAGATGACCAAACCCTTGCTTGGATCTAAGTAGCTGGGCAGGGGCACTCACCTGCGCTAGGAATGGAAAGGAGAAGTCCTGACAGGTTGAGTTGTGCCACCTCTGGGAACAGGGAAGGAGAAATGTCTAGCTTGGGCAGTGGTTCTCAACCTTCCTAATGCCACGGCCCTTTCATACAGTTCCTCATGTTGTGATGACCCCCCCCAACTATAAATTATTTTTGTTGCTACTTCATCACTGTAATTTTGCTAGTTATGAATGTAAATATGCAGGATGTATTTTCATTGTTACAAATTGAATATAATTAAACACAATTAAAGCATAGTGATTAAACACAAAACAATATGTAATTCTATACTGTGAAATATTTATATGTTTTTCGATAGTCTTAGGTGACCCATGTGAAAGGGTTGTTCAACCCCCAAAGGGGTCGCAACCCACAAGCTGAGAACCGCTGCTCTATGGCAAATTGTGACATAAGCTGAACCCCCCCCCCCCAGTCTTCATTACTATTGGCTTTTAGTATTGGTATCTTTTATAAATCTGGTTGTCGTCTTTGGGGGATTAGAAACATCATATATAAACATACAAATATATTTTAATGCATGCATACCTAAAAAGTTCATGATCCTCAAATCATAAACATTTACAGATGATGAAATTAACAACCGAGGTATCTGATGGTATGAGACGTTGCGTAGGGTCACACTCTAGGTGGCGCCCCGACAGCAGAGTGGTTGCTGGGCACAGGTTCGGCAGTTTGAAACCACCAACCACCCCGGAGTAGAAAGAGGAGGCTTTCTACCTACTGTCTCAGAAACCCACAGAGGAGTTCTACCTTGTCCCACAGGGTCACTAAGTCTGGATCCAATCCATGGCAGTGAGTTTGGCTTCTTTTTACCAGGCCTGGTGGCACGTAGGTTACGTGTTGGGCTGCTAACTGCAAGGTGAGGAGGTCAAGCCCACCAGCTTCTCTGAGGGAGAAAAATGAGGCTCTGCTTTGTAAAGATTTATAGGCTCTGTCTTTTAGACTAGCTAAGGGACCCTTTGGTAAGGTGACCAGACGTCCCGCTTTTGGCGGGACAATCCCAATTTTTAACAATTTTTCCTGCGTCCCGTGGCATTTTTAAAAAGTCTCGATTTTTGGAAAGAATGCACGACAAGCTAGGATATATGGTTTTCGGCTGCCATGTGGCAATTTTGCCAGGATACGAGTTTTATCAATGGTGTCCCGCTTTGCCAGTGTTAAAATCTGGTCACCTTATCTTTGGACTTCTTCTTCTCCAAAGTATCCCCTTCAACAAACTCACTCTTGCTGCTCACACTTAAAAAGAAAAAAAGATTTACAGTCCTGAAAAGCTGGTCTCAGGTCCCTATGAGTGGGACTCGGTCCAGTGGCGGTGGGTTTGGGGGCAGAGATCTGGTCCACAAGAAAGTTGGTGGCAGCTGGGCAAAAAAAGTCAGACGTTGCCCACCTTTTACTCCTTCCTAGGGCTCCAGACACCAGGCTTCATCACAGACCAGGGCGGGCCCTGACTCCCAGCAGGGCCTCTTGGTTTTGTGGATAACTCTGGGCTGTAGTCCGGGTGAAGGCTCACAAATTGGTTTGGTATGCCATTCCATGGTTTGTGCGCATTTGGTTTCAGGCCCTGGATCGCAAGCCCCCCCCCACCCCCACCCCACGTCAGCACTCGCCCCACTGCTTCCTCGAGTCTGCTGCTTCCGTTTGTCCTTCTTGCCCACCCTTTCCTGCCTCCGAGCTCTATCCCTGGGCAAAGGCCGGCCTTGTGCAATGACTGTGCTGATGAGTGCATGCCAACTCAGGTGTTAAGTGTTACCGATCCCCTGTAGTCCTCTCCATTGCTGAGCTGAGAGCTGAGTAGTTCCAGACTTTAGACAGGGCCCTGGTCTCAAGAGTTACTCCCCCCCCCCACCAACCCCTCTCTATCAGACCAGCAAGTCTGGTCTTTAATAGGATTTTGAGATTTGTTCCACCTTTTGCTCCCACTTGATTAAGGACCTGCTAGGAGCCCTGGTGGCCCACTGTATTCTGTCTTGGGCTGCTAACTGAAAGGTTTGTGGTTCAAGCCCATCAGTCACTCTGAGGGAGAGACACGAGAAGTCCTCTGCTAAGAGGTCTTTGGGTAATTTGGCTTTGTCCTGCAGGGTAGTGATGTCAACTGACTGAACGGGCAGCGGGATTGGGCTCTAATTTCCATCCTGGGCCTCCTGGTGTGATCCCTTTCAGAGTGGTAGGCAGTGGTAACCTGGCAACTGGGCACTGGCTATCTCTTCTGATCTCAGGGATGTGGAGGCTGGGTTGGAATGGTCCCTTTGTCCTTTGGGCCGCTGGTATCCACGTGTCCTTGATTTCCGTCACTCTTCGTTTCTCTGCTGGGGAGAGACCAATAGCTGCACCTTTGCTGGACACTCCCAAGCTCTAGGACCCCGGGTGCCAGTCACCGAAGTTAGATGTCCAACACTGTCTTTGTGGACTGTTATGCCAATTGACCTGGATGTCCCTTGAGACCATGGTCCTGAGTCTTCAGGCCCTCAGATTATTGGTTATCACAAAAAAGAGGTTTCAAAAATTTGCCCCCTATATGGTGGTCCAAGCACTGGACTGCTAGCTGCAAGGTCAGCAGTTCAAAGCCAGCAGCTGCTCCATGGAGAAAGAAGAGGCTTTCTGCTCCCGTAATGTACAGCTTCAGAAGCCTTGTGCCTCAGAATCTACTTGATGGCAGTGAGCTTGGTTTGCTTCTTTGGTTTTGATGGTGTACTATGAAGATCCCCAGTGGTGCAGGGGTTAAGCACTGGGGCACCAACTGCAAGAACCAAACCCTGGTTCTTCTCTGCCCTATGGGGTCGGTATGAGTTGGAATTGACTCGAGGGCAGGGGGTTTAGTTTGGCTTGGTTTTTATATTCTATCATCTCCCTAGACGTTACTGTGGAACATGTAAATGCGCATGCAGGACAGAACATCTTCTGTCAAGCCTACAGACGCATACGCTCACGGTGTAGAGCGGTTTGCCTTCCCACTCCCGCACAGCCAGTGTGTCTGGGTGGCCCGTCATGGACACGCTCTGAGGCTCGCTGCCCTCCAGTCCATCCTGATGCCTGGTGATCCTACAGGACTGGGAGGAACTGCCCCTTTGAGTTTCTGAGGCTGTAACTATTTGGGGGAGAAGAGGGCCCTGTGCCTGCTGTGAGTGTAGGGCTCTGTGTGGTTGCCTTCACTGCCTTTAGCCTGTCTCCTCTTTCCAGGGTCCTTCTTTGCCTCCTCCCTGCTGTAGAAGGCTTTCCCTCACCCAGAGCCACAGCACCTCGTGACATGGGGCATCTGGTTGCAGCATTGTATGCCACATGATGCTCACTCACGCCCAGATTGAAGCGTGCACACAGTGCCCTTTATGGTGACTTGAAGGTCATGAGTGGGGGACTACCTGTTCAGTAGGATTATTTTCCTGAGTCCCTGGGGACCCTGTGGAGCCCTGGTTGTGGCTGGGGGCCTGGCTGTTCTGCCCTTCACACAGTGTCACCTCTCCAGCACCATCCTGCCCCTTCAGTAACGGAGTCTCAGCTGGGGCCACAAGTCAGGGAGGGAGTGGAGGAAACAGGCTCCTGGAGGTGAAACCACTCCCCTGACTCATGGAGACCATGCAGCAGAGTTGGGGCTCCTGCCTTGCTCTACTTTGAGAGCCCTGCAGTCCTTCAGGGGCTACTAGGGGCGTAGTTACACTTTGGGCCACCAACCACAAGGTCAGCAGTTTGAACTCCTCTGGACAAAGATGAGGCTGTCTGCTCCCGTTTTGACAGTCAGAGAAGCCCTAGAAGTAGTTCTACCTTGCTCTAAGAGTGCCTCTGTGGATTTGGCTCTGAACTGGAGTCTGACAAGGGCAAGCAAAGGCGGAGCAATCCCTTGGCCACTGGGGCCCTTAGCACCCCCAGTGGGGGCCTCCAGGACAAAGGGCAAAGGGGAGGATGGGGCAGGGCAGGGACAGAGGGCAGGAAGTCAGCCAGCAGAGACTTGCACGGTGGTAGGTCGGGGTAAAAGTTGAAGGGCAGGGAGCAGGCAGGTGGGGCAGCCTTCCCTGTCACATCTCCTCCCCCTCAATCTTGCCAGCAGACAGCTTGTTCCGTGTGACACAGAGCATGGTGTGACAGAGCATGGCGGGTGACACACGCCCCGAAGTGGCCCTTGAGACACAGCTCCGTCCGTCACCAGCTGT